GAGAGAGAGAGAGAGAGAGAGAGAGAGAGAGAGAGAGAGAGAGAGGAGAGAGGGGGAGAGAGAGAGGAGAGAGGAGAGAGAGAGAGAGAGAGGGAGAGAGGAGAGAGAGAGAGGAGAGGAGAGAGAGAGAGGAGAGAGAGAGAGAGAGAGAGACGGGTTGGGGGTTTGAAAAAAGACAAGTGAAAAGTGAAAAATGTCCCACACTGAAAACAATTTCACCCAAAACTGGCGAGTAAACCGGTGCCTCGCGGGTACCCCTATCCGCAACCATTTTTAACCACCTCCCAGGAGTCAATTTAGGACATAACACTTTCGCAATTCACTCTGGAGAGTAAGTAACCCTCCACGACTATTCGCGCACCAGTGGCTCACGACCCCTCCATCGAAAGGTATTCATCGACGCCTACCTGGCAGCAGCGCCCTACAAACCCTAGGAGATGGGGTTACCTCCACGCCTACCCTTCGCCGACCAAGTCACGAGGGCCAAAAAAAACTCCCACGCTTGACCATATTTGCGGGAAAATATCTATATTATAGCAATCTCACACTTAGAAAACATCGGTGAGAAAGTTTCACATCGGTGGGAAAGGTCAAATCAAATTCCCATAGAAATTTCGACATGACTCAGTCACCGGCAGTCATGTAGACCGCCCGAAATCTGGAAGATGTGTCTCCGCTGCTTTCGTGACCTATATAAGAATCAAAATGGTCTCACTTGGTAGTTTTGGAAGAAAAAGCGTTGCCAATCGTCCCGTAATGAATATTGCAGAGGTTTTAAAGATGCACCCTAACAATTGTACTTTCGCCCCCACTTGAAAACCGCCAAACAATGTGCCAACATATCATTGGTTCAAAAAAAGTTAAAAAATTGTTGTAATTCAAAACTGTATGAGACAACGCCATCTAGTTGTAACAGTAGATCCAACTCCTTCAGGGCAGGTTATGTAAAGGTTCACCATCCACGGATACGCGTTTACGATGCCTCGAGTAGTTCCAACTCTGTCAGTGAGGGCTGTGCCAATGACTCGACACCCGCGGGGACAATATCCGGTGTTGGGTAGCTACCTTACTGCAGACTGTGGGTACAGTGCATATTTACGAGTAATAAGGCAGGCAAGTCTGCTTACCCTCTAGCTAGAATCTGGACATGGCGAGTTAATACACATATACCACCCGCAGAGCAACGCTTAATTCGCCAGCTTCGGGTGAAAATGTTTTCAGTGCAGACACGTTGGCACTGAATTGAAACAGGGATTCACCCGCAAGCTTTAAACCTTGTGGGTTAACATTGCTTGTTCTATTTTCTCTGGCTCAAATATTGACAAATCATACGATAGCCAGCAAAGTTGACAACAATCAGCAAACAGCTAATGCCAGACGTCGGGGTAGTTTCCCTCCCTATCTCTTTTGTCCAACAACACTCAGTCCGCTTCCCATTCCGGCCCATGCCGGACCTCTATACCCTTCCCGGTACGTTCCGTGCTCGAGTCAGCCCTTGTGCCGACCACTCCAGGTTGGAGTGAAGTCGGTACCATCCCGGGACAGGGACGCGGCCCGGCCCACCCGCCCGCCAGGCCTCTCCTTCACTGTGTTTGGTCTGGTGTGGCCGGGAACCACCGTCTCGCCGCGGCGGCGGGCACGGCCACGGTCATAGAGCCAGGTGGGCACGGCCACGGTCATTGGAGGGTCGGCTTCGGTCGCAGAGAACGACTATAATGGGAAGACCTGCGCCGAGTTGTTTAGTAGCTCTCCCTTGGTGTGGTCCATCCTGCACGCGTGATAAGCGTGGTCATTGGTGGCCAGGTGGTCATTTGCATACTTGAGCCTGCCCTATAATTGAGGGCCTGGAAAAGTGATTTCGTAGAAGACCAATTAAAATTTTACAATTTCCCTGAGGTATTTGGATTCATTTCTAGTTTGCTGTTTGGCTCATAGCCTAGGTCATCTAACCTGGGGGTCTCCGTTAGGGAAATGATAAATGACAGCTGAACTCACCTCTTCACCATGCACTGTCATATGCGTGATCACAGATCTCTGTATACAGAGGTTTATGACGTGATGTAAACCTCAGTATTATTTCATCGCGTCGTAACTCGTAGCTCCTCGGCCGCACGTGTCATTCCGCCCGTTACGTCAGCCGAGCTGAGGACGCCGGACGTAACCGCAAGTCAGCGCCCGTGCGCGACTGTGCCCGCGAGGTCGACTCGAGTACCGAGAGAGCTGTCATCCAAACACCCCTCCCTCCAATCCGCCCTGATCAGATCAGTACACAATTAGCTCACTTCAGCCACAGAACAGAGTCGGTGAAGTCACTAAAGAGTACAGCGGAGAACGCTAATAGAACTGTCTGACCGATGATACGTCCACGCGGTTTGGGATCCGTGCGTCTGGCGTTTGGACTTATGTAGGTATGTCCGTTCTAGCTGGGTCAAATTCTTCTGTCGTTTGCTACCTGGGTCCCAAAATCTAAGCCATCTTGCCGTGTATTTGTGTGTAATTGTCCCGATATCGTGTTACATGAACGACGGTGGCGTCGCGGGGTCATTATAGGACAGTATGTATGTCTGCTGTCTGAACCATAAATGTATGAGCTGTCTGGGATCTGGGTTCCGGAATATCTGGGATCTGGGATCTGAGTCCCGGAATATCTGTCCTGTCTGGGCTTAGCACATCTATCGGGCTCCGAGTGCCCACACCAGCGTCCCAAAGCTCTTAGTCAGCTCAGTCAACACACACAAACATACAGCTCGGCGAAAGTCAACAGCCCGCCCGACCGACGGGAAGTCCCGTGAAGCTTGGCCGGCGTATGAAGGGATGGTAGCGAGGTCTCACGGGTCAGAGGGCGCTTTAGGCATGGGTGGTACAGTACAGTCTACAATAGGTAAATGGACATCATGGTGGCAATAACCGAATTATATGAATAACTGGGTTACGTCTGCCTCGGCAGCGGATGAGTACTGTCAGACTCAGATATTGATTTAGGTGGCTAACTCACTCGTGTCAAGGGCTATGGCACCTTGGCTGCTTTTATAGTTAATGTTGTTCTATAACATGGCCTGTTTTAGGCTTTACGGCGGCGAATCGGATCGGACATTCTGAAAAGGCACGGCAGTAGTCAGTAGAAAGTGTTGAGTATGTTATGCTGAAGCTCTTTCACTTTCGGAGTGGGTAGATCCGTTCAACGGATAATTGGGTCAGCGTTTTGAAGGTCAAGAGATTGTAAACTTGACTGAGAATGAAACTCACTCTGGTTTTAGCTGTGTACATACCTATCCACAAACGGCAATCATTCACTGTATAGAAAGGGAATGTGATGGTTCTGACGCCAAAAAGCGTAGTGGAAGGTACTGGGAGCCATGAATAACATGTGCGTCTTCTTTGGAAATCCTTGTTCTCTCCTGCAGAAGAAGCCTGGCGCGTGTTGCCTTTTGTAACGACATTAACTAAAGCTGAGATCACATCACTCAAGATAAGATCTTAATGTACTACACGCGTTACGCTGTAAGCCGATTAACGCTTGAGATGTCTCTTTTAAAAATGATCTCCTGTAACCATTGTGAGATCCTGAGGTTAACCACACATCTCGCTAGGAGGGATTTTCTTATTGCTGTGGTATTGGTCGCAAAACTGCTGATGGGTCTGACATGTGACGGCGCTCTTTCTTATCGTTCAATGAAGTACCGAATGAGATGATGACATTAGTCTCCAATATCTCTTAGCACAGATTGTGTCATGTTCATATAACTTGACTTGACATTGACACGGCAGATTAAAGTGTCTACCACTATCAAGCGTGCCTGTCCAGTGCCCACACAAAGCGTTTTTCGCCAGTTGCTTCGGGCATTTCTCGTGATTAATACCGACGAAGCAAAACAGCGTGACCCTATCTCCCGGCTACCATGCACCGTCTCAGAGTCTGTTTGCGTCGAATCTGTGAGCTTTTAATTACCGCATTTTTACGTGTAAGTGCCGGGTGGTGCGTTGCGTGCGCGTGCACCGGCGTGGCTGGGGTGCGCGGTGTAATAATCCGGCCTGTGTGCGGCGGAAGTCGGGTGAAAGGTGACGCAACAACAGACACATGTCTGAGGCGCTGCAACCCGGAGCCGCGCGGGACCGCAGGCCACGCAAGATTCCAGAATTTCAATACCTATTACCTTTGTCAATCATCTGCGTGAGAACTGGGTCTGACCTGGAATCAAGTCGACAGTTGTATAGGTACAACTAGCCTTACATAATCTCTAACTGTCTACGGCAGGCAAATTGGTAGTCATCGCAGTTTGGTTAGAAATTATAGTTTCAAGACCTGAATGTGTAACGGTTGGTGGCCTTCTCCAAACCTGACCCCTCTGCTCCCTCTGACAGGTCAGCCGAAGATCGGAAAGCTGTGGCAATTTCTGCTGGCGCTGCTTCACGACAAGTCTCACAACCCCTCCATGATCAAGTGGGACGACTTCGAGCAGGGACGCTTCAAGTTCGTCCAGAGTGAGGCCGTGGCGCGCCTCTGGGGAAGCAGGAAGGGCTATGAGACCAACATGACCTACGAAAAGCTCTCCAGAGCGATGAGGTAAGGCCACGTGCTGCGCACGCTCCCTCCCTGTTTATTTGTGAAGCTTACAAGGAAAACGCCAAGCTGCCGACCTACCTCAACCAACCCCTTTAGTGAGGGAGCACCATGGCACTCACGCGAACGGCTAGGTTTTCCTATGAGGAAACGGTCGCCGTCAGTCTCATTTGGTTGCTGCTGGCCGGTCGGCGCGCCTCCTGCGAGGGTCTTCCTCGTGCCACGTGACTAGCGGTGGTGGCGGTGGGCGGCGGGTGGAAGGGGGTTTCGGTGCTGTCGGAGTGCTCAGTCATTGTGTGTACTCTGCATTGACGGCTGGGGATCCCCTGGCTACCATGGTGCGAAGAGAGCCTCAGCGACGCCCTTCGAACTGGTAAACTTCGTCTATCGGGTAGTACCCTGAGGTGCTCGTTGTATGAGCTCTGTCGGCTCGGCCAAGTGTCTGAGTCTGCGGGTACTAGCCCTGTGTGGAGGCTCAGGTGTAGTCGGGTTTGATAGTCTCCTCGGCCCCTCCTCCCCATGCCTCCCCTGTCCCTGACCTGGGGCGGGTAAATCCTTGGTGCCTCACCGGTGCCTATCAGTTCAGATGAGTGCGGGGGCGCGGGCGGCGGTTCCGTGTAAACGTTTCACTGAGATAGTGCGGTTTCACTTCAGTGACGGTTGACTCACATGGCACATAGCAGCAGATGACACTATTTCGGGACGATGGTAACTACCCAAATATTCGTCTAGCTCTCAGGCGATAGGTATCGTATTGCCGTTGCAGATTGTCGTAGGATGACGCTGAGTCTGAGTGTGCTGCGTGTGCTGCGATATTCATCCTGGCGATCATGAGAGGGATCACCCGAAAAACAAAGGGCGGCCCTGGCGCGGACAGCTGTACCGTGAACGGGCGATGATTTAATCGGTGAAGGGAAGCACCGTTTATTTTAAGTCTAGCGGGATCAGGCTGCTCCAAGAAGGGCAGCAGCACGCAACTATCTGATAGGCTATGGTTTGCCCATCACGACTGAGCTGTGGCCGCCGTGTAATTCAGGCCCTTCAGGATTTACACATGAATTCCCAAGAGCAGGTAGTTCAGCTTACGTTACGTCAGCCTCTGTCACATCGCTAAGACTCCGTTTTGCATACAACGCTTCCATTTGACTAAGAAGTCTTCCGGTTCCGTGCCACTAAAGACGGTCTGCCGACGGTAAAGCCTCCCACATCATTATTACTCATCAGCTCCAGGGCAATGGAAAACCCATCGAATATGACGCCGCACTGCTCATGAGTCAACTGTTATTTGATGCCGGCCTTTTTCACGGCATCGTGGTCCCGATCGGGCTGGTCTGCTGTGGCCGCCGAGGCGTCTGTAGCAGCGAACTGGGGCGGCGTCAGCTCACTCCTTAGCTGGCGCCTCAGCCTTGACGGGCCGTGAAAGCTGCCTGCCGGTGGGCCGGCCTGCCCGCCTGGCACCGTGCAGTGTCCTTGCGTGTCCGTCGCCGGTCCTGTCGGTGCATTCCGCGCCGTTGACACGACCGAGCTCCAGCGTGCTTCCAAAAAGTTCATGTTGCAACTGCGGCGCGATAGCCGCTCATACCAGCCGGCACTGCTGCTGCTGCCGCTGCTCCAGTTTTAACGTCATTGTCCGCCGGCCGCAAAAAGGCGATTTATGCAACTAGATCAGATAGGGTGGTGGACGCGGGCGTCTCGCGGCGGCCGGCCGGTCGGCGGCCGCTGCTGGACGACCGCCATTGTGTCCAGCGCAAGCCGACGGAGAAAGGCGGCGCCCGCACCGGCCAGGTTTTTTATCGGCGCGCCTGCAGCGGGCCGCGGTGGCGGCGCGGCTCCCAGCGGGCCGCGCCGTGCGCCCCCGCTCACCGCTCTGCGGCCCCTGGCCGTCGGCCGACCACAGGTGGTCACTCCGAACCGCAGCATGCACAGAGCACCGAGAACCGGCCCGGCAAACAGAGGGGGCCATGAGAGGCTCCGTTCGACCTGCAGATAGGCCGGCACGCGCCACCAGGTACCGCTCAGCGGCGCCCACACTGCTCGGCCTTGGCCCGGGCAAACCGACTCTTGGCGGCGAGGCGAGTCAGCCAAATTTCGCACTAGCCTAACGCCTTTTCGATGAATAGGTGTGCGTTTTCTGTAACCACACTCCATGCCACTTACATTACGGCATTTCCGAACATGATAATCACCCTGCGCATGAGCCAGCATGCAGCACGCAACCAAGCCGCAGTGCGAGCGACGTGGACCGGACGTCTCGGTCGGGCCGCCGCAACATCCGACCCGATGTTAGGACAGGACTGACACGGGCCCAGCGACCAGTTTGGTGTGTCTAGTTGTGCACGTGCACTGGCGTCCGGTCGGTGCTCGGCATTGCACCGTGCTCTGCAACCGTCACCTGTGAATAGCGAAAGTTGCGACAGTTTGAGAAGAAATGATCCAGTTCTCGCTCCTAAGTGGCCTGGTCTGCGTTTCGTTTTCTTGCGATCGCTGTTCGGCAGTGAAAACGCTATTGAGAAGGGACCGGGTGTGTTCCACCGGCTGGGCGGGGTTTCTTTTCGTCGAATCAATTTCGAACTGTTATCTATTGGAAATTAGAAAAACCAGATAACTGGAGCAGAGCAAGGAACACGTGAACGTCACTATGAATGCAGAGGCTAATGGACGTCAGACCCACCAATATTTTGTCACTTTTATGACATGCTCTGCAGCCCTCATCGTGTTCAGAACTAAGCGCTCTCTGCCGTTCGTTTGCATTATTTACTTTCGTGTTCGTTTCATGTGCAGACACCTGCAGCGTTACTGCAGTCGAAGTGCTGAGTCACTGTGTGGAGCGAGCTGAAACACATGGCGCGCACCGACGCGGTCTGCTGGTCCGTGTGGGTACAGTGGCCGTTTCTGACCGGAGCCGTCCGTTGCAGATACTACTACAAGCCGGGCATCCTGGAGCCGGTGGTCGGCCGCCGCCTGGTCTACGCCTTCGGGCCCAACGCCGACTGGAAAACGCCCCCGGATGTGTCCCTCGTCTGAACGAGCCGAGTCGGAGTCGGAGTCGGTCAGGGACTCCCGGTCGGCCGCCGCCGCTGAACTCTGGACTCGCGCGTCCGGCACCGGAATCTGCGGTGGACTCAGCGCAAACCAGCGACCGAACAAAACAGAGCGACTGCGGAGGCAGCAACAGGCACTCGGACGAACTGAAAAGGGAGTCGCCATGGCTCGCTCTTGCTGTACGCGAACGCAGCTTCAGACCGTGGACAACCATGGTATCTTTTCCCGTGCCTTTTTAGTGCCTGGAGGGCAGGTCGCGTGCCTGCTGAGTGGTCCAGCGCAGGCCCCTTCCACCGGAGGCCGTCAATGCTGCCGCGGAGGCTGTGGTTCGAGTCGGGACAGTGTGAACCGCCGCTCTATCAGCGCCGTCACGACCGGACCGAGCGAGCAGGGCCGCCGACCCCGCTGTTTTCCCGACATACGCTGCAGCACGTCATCAACAGCGTGCGAACGCCACGCGCGCCGGCAAACAGCGGGACCGCCGCCGCCGCTCGGAAACGCGTCCGATCTCAGCAATGCACGTGTGGAGGAAACTTCCACACGCTAAACGTGGACGCGCTTGTAATTGATTTTTCGCAACTGTTGTGTAGGTGTTGCATGAAACGTGTACTTTTGTAGACATGTGTGACATAGACATGGGAGAGTTTGATATTCCCAAGACGTTGCGCTAGCGTTTTTAAATGTTCATTGTCGATTACGGTAACGTTATTGCCAACAAACTCGCGTTCAACGCAACCTTTCAAAGTAGGGCCACATCGGTGGCTGTCGGGCACTGACCCGACCGGCGCGCTCCGTGCCAGGCATTCCGCTGCGCCCCACGTGCCTGTCTTTGGAGCCCCACCTCCGGGACGTGCCCCGTGGTGTTCCGCCGCCCGTCCCCACCCACCCCACGACCAGCCGCAGTGTCCGGGACGGCCTGCCGCTTCCGGCGTCTCCGTCGCCCCCGGTCCGACCACCGCACCAGCGGTCTCCGCCGGCCGACCCGGCGATCATAGGCCGCAGGGGGCTGCTCCAGATGTGCTCCCGGAGCTGTACCAGCTGCGGACACTGCGGGGTCGCGTGCCGCGCCGTCGCCTACTCCTGGGGGGACGAGGAAGTCCTGTTCCGAACTCTCCCGCGGCCCCCACGTGGCGCGGGAGCCGGCGGCGGCGATGCGGGCGGTGGTCCGGGGATTTTTGGCGTGGCGCGTCACGCCGCGGCGTGCCGGCCGTGCTGCAGCGGCGGCGGCGGCGGCGGCGGCGGCGGCGCTGCTGATTTCAGGAGACGCCGTTCGTGTGGGCCGCCGGCAAACAGGGCCACTTGCGGCCCACCGACCGCACGAGCTTTTCGGGCAGAACTTGCCGACGGTACCGACCGGTGCGCCGCGCCGCCCCGTGGGCCCGTGCCGGGCACCGAGGACGCTGTTTGAACTTGGCAGCTCGGGGTGGTGGGCCCCGCCGCCGACCGGCCGCTCGCCTGACGGGCACGCCGCTCGCCAGATCGGCCCTCGGATCGGCGGCGGTCGTCGCGTGACACAACTGCAGGCTATCAGGGGCACAGCACACGGTCTAACGGGTTTTCTGGGAGTGGCCGTTCGGCGGGCCGGGGCCACTCGCCACCATGCGGCCGCACATGCAACTGATACAGATGTAGGCTGTGTTCGACGCTTTCACAACCGGCGACGGTGGCCTGCATGTGCAAGTGTGCTTGTAGCTGCCGGCTGGACGGTCACGAAGAGCCACGGCCGCGCTCGGCGCTGTCTGCAGGCCGCGCTCGGCGCTGTCTGCAGGCCGCGCTCGGCGCTGTCTGCAGGCCGTCTCTGCCCTGTCTGCAGGGCTGTCTTGCTGCAGCGTTCGGCGCTGTCTGTAGGGTGGAGTTCGCCAGGCCGCCCCGTTTCCGCGGCCTGGTCTCGTACCTGACCATATGTCCATCTCGCCCGAGAGGCTACCAGACAAGAGGGTTGTTGAAAAATGTACATAATGTCAAGAGATGTTCTGCCATCGCCGTCGGGTCACATGGACCACTCGCGAGAACCCCGCAGCGTAGAATTTCAGAGGCGATGATGTGCTTTAAGATGTAGAAGGCCTGCAATGTGTGGTCTGTTTTGCGGTTTTCGGCGCTTCCGCGTGCATGTTGATAAGAGTTTTGGTACTGTGAGAGGTATTTATATGCGTCTGAGGCGAGTGTACAACTGTGCGATGTAAATAGAATGGAGCAAGCGATTCCATGACTTGACTGCCGGCCATGGCATAGTTTAATATTTACTGGTATTTATTGTTGTATTTAATCATGCAATGCTCAATACAGACCAGAATCGGATAGTCGTCTTTATCGTGGTGAAACATCTCCAACGAGATTGATTGGACATCGAGGAGCCTCTTGGCACTTTGTCCTTATTGCGGTACAACACCTGCTTCTAAAGCATGTGGGGTCGAGCAGGGACACGTCTTATCAGGGTGTTTGATGAACTGGTGGCCTCTGGGTAGGAGGAAATAGTCTTCGCCACCGAGTGATCACTGCGTCTCGGTTACCGAGTGACTGACGAGCCTCAGTTACTGAGTGACCACAGTGACCGGCGGGCAGTGACCACAGTGACCGGCGGGCCTCAGTTACTGAGTGACCGAGACCGAGTGACTGGGGGCGGGGGCAGTGACCACAGTGACCGACGGACACTGATCGGCTGTGACTGACGGGCCTCAGTTACTGAGTGACCGCTGTGACCGGCGGGCAGTGACACTGACCTCAGTGACCGGCGGGCAGTAACTGTTGTAACCGTCAGGCAGTGACCACAGTGACCGGCGGGCAGTGACTGCTGTGACTGGCGGGCCTCGGCCACTGAGTGACCACAGTGACCGGCAGGCAGTGACCACAGTGACCGACGGACAGTGACTGCTGTGACTGGCGGGCCTCGGTCACTGAGTGACCGCTGTGACCGGCGGGCAGTGACCCTGACCTCAGTGACCGGCGGGCAGTGACTGTTGTAACCGTCAGGCAGTGACCACAGTGACCGGCGGGCAGTGACTGCTGTGACTGGCGGGCCTCGGCCACTGAGTGACCACAGTGACCGGCAGGCAGTAACCACAGTGACCGACGGACAGTGACTGCTGTGACTGGCGGGCCTCGGCCACTGAGTGACCACAGTGACCAGCGGGCAGTGACCACAGTGACCGGCGGGCGGTGACCACAGTGACCGGCGAACAGTGACCACTGTGACCGGCGGGCAGTGACCGCTGTGACCGACGGACAGTGACTGCTGTGATTGGCGGGCCTCGGTCACTGAGTGACCACAGTGACCAGCGGGCAGTGACCACAGTGACCGGCGGGCAGTGACCACAGTGACTGACGGGTCTCGGTCACCGTGTGACGGGTCTGACCGACAGCCGCGGTATCGCCCACGTCCCTCCGTGCGGGATTCACCAGCAGCGCTCCTCCGCCGTCCACATACGCCGATAGTGCCGATCGTCTGCCTTGGAGCCCCGCCACTGCAGCCGAGGATAGTACTTTGGTATTTTTTACAGAAATTGCTTAAAAAGCACTCATAAGTATAGAAAAGCTCTAAGTGTAGGTAAACGTCTCACCAAAAGGCCCAAATAAAACAAAAACTATGATATCTTCTAACTTCTTGCTGTTTGATATAAGGAAGGATAATGTCCGTAACTAGGTATTCTTGTTTGCTTATTTAGTCTCGAACATCTTTTTACAAGCATATGAGCCCATCCGAGAAGGAACTCATTTTTGTGGTGTCAAACGTCCTTTGTGATGACATGCATTTGTTTTATTAGTCAATGGCACAATACGTCCAAAACACCAAAAAAATTAAACGTTTTGTCTAGGCATAATCGCTCATCATTACAAACAAAACAAAAATATTATCTCACGAGTTATTATCGTAACCTTTTCCGAGCAGCATATGTACAATGGCCGTTTTTCAAGGAAATTCGGTAGTTATCGGGGCGGATGGTCGTTGGCCGGCTCAAACGGTACCTATAGTCGGGGAGTGGGAAACAGGCCGAGATGGCCGGATGCGGAAAGGACGACACGTCTTAACTGATCGTCAATCAGTGCTGCGAGGGCTAACGAACACTTGACGCATCTTTATTCACTATTCAGTTCTTTTGAGAGCTCGTTTTGTTTCATTATTTAGTTATTCTTGACAGCAGTGGGCGATACCTCATTATTGCCCACTGACTGAAGCTAAAGGCAAAGCTTATCAAAGATCTACCAAACTCTCAGTTCTAAATGGGATGACGTGGCTTAAAAAAAGACATTTTCACGAAGCAAGAACTAGTAAGTCTTAACAAATAGCAATGTATTCATTAGGAGAAAAGGCGCATACTATAATAGTCTATTGTAGTATCCATAGACTATTATAATATATTTCGTCTAGACGAAATCACGGGGCAGCTTGGAAGGTAGCAATTTATTAAAGTCCGTCAATGAGCACATCAATCTGTAGCAGAAAGCGCAAACATAGCCGTTTACATAAAAAATACTCGTTCACAAATATCCGACTTTTTGTCTTGGGTCGAATCGTGTCCAAGGGCGAAGTCTGGCTGATTCGTTGCTGAATCCAAGGGTGCGATTTCGCACACTTGCTCTTATGCCTAGGCATCAACAAATTCAGGTAAAAAAGGTTAAATTGGTGTCTGTCTGCGAAAGATGTTACTGCCACGATTGAGTCTTAACCCTCGCATGTGTGCGGCGTTTGCCAGCTTCTAATGTGTAGGGGGGGGGGTCGGTTGGACCCCCCCCTTGCCGTTTGGCCCCTGATCGGGCTAAAGCTTCGCGGAAAAAAACGAGCGTGTTGCCCGTGACGAGAGGAAGCCGATGATACCCAATTTTAAGGTCCTAGGTCATTGGTTGACCTTCCAGGTCAGGTCAATGACCCAAAGTCGGGAAAATCGGGACCTGTTAGAAAGTGGTGAAGTGTGGCTGCTAAGAGGTTTTTCGGGGTGCTGATCACGAATATCGTGTTAGTTTTGATCAGAGATGATGTCTTTAAGCATTTAGACGAGGTCGGGTCAGGTCAGGTCAGGTCAACCGGTAGGGGTCGTGACGGGTATTCGTAATAAGTGTCAACCGCCTCTGACAGCTTCGTAACATGTTACGAAGGCACCAAAACTATTTCATAAATGTTCAAATGGTTGCTAAATTCGAAATCAGCTCCAAAAACTAGCCTAGAAACATGTAAAACTCGAAAAAGTGAACCGAGGTCACCAAAGGTCAATGACCTGACCTGACCTTCAGGTGACCTTGACATCCACCCTAATGCATGGGAGCCACATCAAAGCACATTTTTGAACGTTTGAAACCACGAAAAGCTTGAAAACGCGCGGATAATGTGAGCCGACATACGCGGAATCGCGATTCCGGCCAAACATTGTCTCGGAAAAGAGGCCACAGGTCAAAGGTCATTTGGGTCAGGGTCATGAATTTTTCAGAGTAGGTGTCAAATTGATCAATGCGAGGGTACTGAAAGTTTCGTCGTGATCGGCCGCTTTTTACGCGAGTTATTCGCGAAAAACCATGGGGGGTCTATCCGACCCCCCCCCCCTACACATGCGAGGGTTAATTCAAATCACATGTATTCGAGACCTGTAGAATACTCGTATCTTGAGATCAGTGGGTACCCCTTTTACCCAGGGTGGTACCCCTTTTTAGACGCCGGACAGACCATTACCCCCACCCATCAGACCCCATTGCTCACACAACAAAGGTCACTGATACTCCATCGTTTTCGGTGGGTCTATGTTCTGCATACCAAATGCAACAAAATTAACCCTCGCACAGGATGCAGATAAAGGAGGTGGGGGGAGGGGGTATAGGAAGGATAAACCCTTCCCCCTCCCCCCAAAAAAGATGAACCATTGCGGTCTTTCCCAAATTACTCGAACAGTGATTGACGTATCACAACAAGTCTTCTTGTATGCATTTCTCCATCTGCATTGTGTATGCATTTCTTATGCATTTAGTGTATGCGTCTTATTATGTGAATTTTTAAATTATTTTAACTTGTTGTCTTAAACGAGTACCTACTTCACTCGTCAATGGGCCCACCATATACCGTGAGTGTTTATGTAATAAACTAAACTGAACTAAACTAAACTTGTACCTCCGAACTGATCATTCTAATCTAAAATCTAAATGACCCCGATCCAAATGACCTTCACCCTTGACCTCTTTCTCGAGACCATGCCAGGCCAGGACGGCAATTGGACGCAATTCACATGTAGCCTATGTTATATGCAATAGCCGTTTTTACGACGGGCTATCCGGCGAATGCATCTGATGTGACCAAATCTGCACCTAATTTCTTTTACAGCAAATATCTTTATTTTATGAATTCATTTCAGTGTTTTAATCGATGATGCTCTCTGATAATATGACAAAGCAGGCATAGGTATAAGCAATTAGTGCAACCCTAGCTGATAGATGCTAAGAGACACACTGAACCTGATTTGACCAAATCTGCACCTAATCTGTACCAGATGTGCACCAAATGTGTACCAGATGGCCGTCGTGAAAACGGCTATTATGTACCTTTCCAAGTCGTGCAAGTCATGAACTCTAAGAAGATGATAGTTTTCCCCCCAGAGGCCCTCATCACCCCCGCCCAAGCGCTCTGTTACCCCCAGAGCAAGCATGCCGCACCATTTACCTACCGACCCCTGCCTTAGAGTAGTATATTATTTAGATTCTTCTTTTTTATATTGTAATTGCATCCATCAAATAACCGCCAATAATGAGCGCGCCGCTGACAGAAAAATAAGGCTGATTTTCTAGAGCAAGACTGAATCTAATAATATGTTAGTTATTGAATGTACTTTTGGCCAGCAGTCTTTTATATTCCCATTGAATGGGCAGATCAGCAAAGTGACTCCATACTGTACAGTTGGACTCTGTTGGCCTCTACACATGTCAAACTCCGAGGAAGGTAGCACCTAATGGCTTCATTCTCCATGTGTTCTCGTCTATGTTTATTTACTGTACAAGAAAACAGCTGATGGTTACACTGATAAATTATCTAGCATGGAGCGGGTCAGGTTACCTGAATACGCCATGAGCTCGTGTCGTTT